CGGCGGGGGGGAGCCCCTCCTGTTAGGGCTGGGGGGTTTAAAGTTTTTTTGGTGTTCTTAGAGACTCTGTGGGACTGCACTGCATGGGGTTACCTGGTCTGAAATTTTTCTTTGTTCGTGCTGAGTGACAAATTGCCTAAAAGTTAGCATGAAAGTTGCTTAGCACACCGTTAAAGACTTAAGAATCTCTTATCAGGCCACAGAAAACTTACGGGCTACCATCTGGCTTCACTGCTGGCTCTAACAACACGTGAGCCTGGGCTGTTCTGTAGAATGGTGGGGCACTATTTCATGGCCATGAATTCACCATGTAAGTGCCTCAGTTGCACATCTAATGAAAAATAGTATAGCTTGCTGCTTTGTAGTACATCTGAATACTCTAGAAATACAGATTTGCCCTGTGGAGATTTCTTTAAGCCATCTTGCACAGCATGTCTGCTAGTGTATCTTGATTGTAAATAACTGGTGCTTGTCGAGACAGCAGATGTTGCAAAATTATTTTGTGGTAGTAATGGTGAGAGTGTGTTAGTTTGTCATCTCTGACTTTCTGTGTAGATACAGATAGCTTAAGTCCAGGGTGACTAATAAGGACTGGAACAGAACTGGGGTCTCTTAAATCCCGATTCTGTGTCTGAGAACTTCTCCACTGTGGCGAAGTCAGTTACATGAATTAGTGCATTATGTCAGAGACTTCTTACAAATGTGAACGGAGTTGTGTAGTATCATGGGGTTGCATGACTTCAATCTTTGTTCTGTATGCTGATTTTCAGAAGGCAGTAGCGTATATAGATAAGGAATCATCAAACAATGACTGTGATTAGTCAGTGGATGTAAACTTTCTACTTCAACTAATGTTGCCTTGAAAAATAGAACTTATTCAAATAGAAGAGAAAGCTTCAAGAGTTCACATTAATAAGACTGGAACTATATTCAGTTTCTTGGAGAGAAAGGGGTGAGATGAGGTGGTATTACTATAGAAGTTTTATGGCTCTAGGAGTAGCAAGCTTAAAAAAAAAAGTTGAAACTCTGTGTGTCATATAGCGGTGTTGGGTGTCTAGGAGCGACTTAGGAATTGCCAGATGCATCAATTTTTACTGCCTTTAGTTAGAGAAACATTCCTTCTTGAATTTTGATATCTTCTGCAGCTCCTGATAGTCATGAAATCTTCCTGGATTTGAGCACCTTCGATGACTTAGCTCAGTCCCATAAATCATAGGCAGAGTAGTCTTCTCTCCCAGCTACCTCCCAACTGCCTAGTTAGGGTGCTTGCACTGAAAGTTGGAGTATTAGTGTGGAAACTGCACTGCCTGTTACGGATGTTCCCTGACTACCTACCTTTAGTTAGAGGAGATGCCTCTGAATCTTCCCTTTGGATTCTTCCCCTCTCTCTGTTGCTGTAGTAGCATGGTTTCAAGGTTCACTTGTGTTGCCGTTTAATCTATCCATTTATCAAACTCGGTGGTAAGGGCATTGACCTGGTAAGTTTTTTCCTCCTCCTCCGGTGTTCCCAAAATTATGTTTCTATATAAAGTGATTAAAAAAAACCGCAACCAACCAAAAACCAAACATAGAAATCAACCAGGAAGAGGGAAGTGGAACCTCCTCCTTAGGCTACAGAATCATGGTTGCTCTCTTTGAAATGCAGGAGGTGCTGGTTGTGTCTTTCAGTACCTGACTGAATGCTGTTCCTGAATCATTACATTGCCTTTTAAAAAATGTCTTTGTACATCTTGTAATGTACATGATTTGGAGGAGGGTTTCTGTGCTTGAAAATAAAAAGTTATTTTAGCTCTACCTACTAATCTTCATAAGATTCCATCTCCCTATAAACCTGCTTGGGCATCTTCAGATTGATGTGGCCACTCCACTTCTGTAAAACTTCGTACAAAATTCAAGGAATCCTGTCCTTGCCACTGAAACTTTGGATAATCATATGGTACTTGCTAAGTTTTTATCAGCTGTTCTAGTGAAAACATACTGGTTCAGTGGTGGTTTTGTGGAGTTTTGGAGCTGACACATGTAAGCACTGAAGGCCGTGTTAGTCTTTTGTACTAGGAAATGGTCATCTAATCTTGCTTTAGGAGGGTGAGGCTTTTTTTGTGGCTACTCATGTAAATATGTAGTTGGCGGGGAACCTTTCAGTTTCAGCCAATTTATTTTTAGTCTTGATTTAGATGCCATCCTTTAGCTATTTAGCTAGCTGTGTTTAATATAAGTTAAAGTCACTGTTTCCAAGATGTCTTCATGTATTCATTCCAGAGTCACAGATGAGTTGATGTGAAAGAAAATGTCATTTATTCACAAAGCACTGGTAATTCAAGGCAGAAATTCCATTCTGAGGATGGTGACACCTAAATAAAACTACACAGTACAAATCAGTCAGCATTGTAGAGGAACAGAAGAGAGCAGAATGGGTGCTCTGTGATATGAGTGTTTTGACATCTTTTTCAATACCTGTAGGAGATGAGTTCACTAGAAGAAAACAAGTCTCTAAAGCAACTTTAGTGCCACAAAGTGACTTTGTTTCAGTCGACTCTGTCTCTTGACATACTGTTTAAGTGGTGTTTGTGTGTGCAGTTAGGTATGAAAAAGGAAGTGCTTCTCCAGATGACAACGTGCTCGTTGTACAGCGATGGCCAGTGAGAGTCTTGCTTATTGTACCATAGTTGACTAACTCAGCTGGACTGTACGTGCTGTGGACAATTTGCTGGCTAGTGTCAGTGAAGTCAGGCGTGCCACTGCTGAAAGCTGAAAGTAATGTAAAAATGTTTCAGTTCAATACATTTCTGAGCTTCCTTTCCCTTCGCTATATTTCCTTTATGGATCCATAAAATGTTTTCAGGGATAAGTTGCCTCATTCTTCTGACTTGGCTCTAATGTGTTTAACATCTTGCTGCTGCCGAGCTTCAATCCTTTCCATGCTCATCCTGCATGTGGGCAATTGCTGTGACATTTTACCAATAGGAAGGCAGTGTGAGCTGCGCAAGTCAAACTCCAGCTAAATTTGATGTCTGTTACAAAATTGTTGCATTGGCTGCTAGAATTAAATTAATTAGGACTCATGTCCTGATTTATTTACTTATTTATATCTGGAACTTAAAAGTTCAGTTGGCAGTAAGTCTGATAAATGTAATACATTAGAAGCAATCTCAATAATGGGAGAAGGAAAGTTCTATCTCATTTTACAAATGAGAAGCTGAGGCATGAGGCGTGGTACGCACAGAGGTCTATCAGGCCGACAGACAACTCTATCAGATTTTCTGAATTCTAGTCCAGTGTTTCACCTTTGGCTTCATCAGTTAAGAAATGTTCTAGGATTCTTGCTGGAGCACTGCCACTTTGTATTATGTCTTTGTGCCATCCTGTATTGTAGTCAGCTGCTGATACAATTGTAGGTCCTTTTGGGATTGATTATCAGGGAAAGGCTTAAAAAAAGAAAAGGAAGAAAGAAGGCTTTGGCCCTGCCATTTAGCATTACACCGTTCAGTATCTATTCCTGTTCATGAGATAAGGAAGATACATGGCTGTGCTTCTTTCCAGTGTTTGAGAAAGATGGAGAACAAGAAAAGAATGAACACTTTGTTTCACTTAACAAGTTTAGTGTAATGGTGTCAGGTGAATTAAGTTTGCAGTGAACTCGGGAAGTATTAAGGTTCAAGGTACATTTGTATTTATACAACTGCTTCAGAATGTAAAATCATTTCCCTTTGGGAAAATCAATTAATTTTCTTAAAAAACCCAAAACCACACACACACACACACCCACACACACACACACATCAAAACCTTTAGCTTACCTTTAACTTTTCTTTTTGGGAAGTGCTGTCCTTACAGCAACGCATAAATGCTTCAAGTGCTGTTTCAGACACCGGGGAGAATGCTTGACTTGTCCTAATCTTGAGCCAATAATTGGTTCAAGATTCTATTTTAAACAACTTTTAGTACATTGCTAAAATTAATGCCTATATACTGCTTCATATCTTAATTAGCAGTATAAAAAATAAATACTGATTAAAGTACTTTTTAAAGGTGCAGGATTGCAGGATTAGTAATATTAGCAATTATTACTATGGTGAGCTGATAGCATGTTGTTGGCAAAACTCTGTGCATCTGACAATTTGTAGTGTGCAGAGCTTACTTGGCAAGACTAGAATCGAAGTTCAGAGAAGAGGCAGGCAAAACAGTACTTGCTGTCTTGAAGGGCCTAGTGCTGCTGCAGGTGAAGTGAAATGCAGCTTTAACACAAATACATTGTATGATTGTGTGTTATCTGTCATCATAACTCTGACATTTTTGAATGACGTGTAGAAAGTGGAGAGGGTCAAGCTATCTGATTGTTATGGGCAATGATGATAGCTATTGAACCCTGCCAAATAGGCATACTGGTGATATCGGAAGTGTCATCACTCATGTATAGGAGTGACCTGGGAAAAATGGTGGCTAACTCCTGTCAGCAGTGGACTTGACAAGCTTGCAAGCCAGACTTCTTGTGGATTCTGTTTTGTAGTTGTTTAACTTGACATTGGGAAGTCAATGCACTATACAATTTGATATATATATATGTGTGTGTGTGTGTGTATATATATATATAATATATATGTAAAAATGAACATTAGTTGAAAAACTGGGGTTATATATGCTTACATATATATTTACACATACGTATGTGTATATATATGTGACATGCTTGAATGTTGTTCTGATTTTAGTTTTGCGCTTAGCTAATAACCTTCCCAGTCCTTTGAACTTAGGAACAAATATCAAGTCTGCAGACGTTTTTGAGTAACAGTTGCTTTATAAAACAACCTTTTTCAATCAATAGCTGGTTGTGTGTGGGTTTGTTTTGTTTTTTTTTTTAATTTAGGAGCTGTCTTGGCTGTGTGGTGTGGCGGTTAGGTAGGCTAAATAGTGGGGAAAATGGCTTTACTCTTTCTAATGTGGAGTACTTTTCTACTCCTTCCCTCCTGCCCCCCAAGCTGTTAGAAGAGTGAATTCTGACAGAAAAGTGGAGTGAGCTTCTAAACAAGCTTCCTTTCAGAAAAGATGTACTTTTATTCTCATTTCAGCAGTTCACCTGCTCTTCGTACCGCAGATACCAGGTAGATGGCTTCTAGCTGCCTCTTCTAAAAGTAACAATTTCTTTCACCAATTCAGGGTTAGTTTGCAATACTTTCTGCCTTTAGAGTAGACAACTGTCCATCTTGTTGCTGTCTGCTATTTTTTCACTAACTTCCACTATTTCTGAATCCTTCAAATTCTTGACTGATGCCTTCTTCTGTCACCTAGATACTGTCAAAATTGCTTATTCCAGAAGGTAAGGAAGTGCTTGAGCACAATATGAAATTATCGTCCTGTCTTTAAAACTGAAAGCTAAATGTGTTGGACAGCATCTGCTGTTCTTGCTTCTTTGTGGGAAGTTTGCCTGTTCCCTATTCCTGTTAGGTGAAAAGCTCATTTAATACCCACTCTCGTACAAGCTTATCTACATTTTTAAATCTCCCATGAAATGAGATTAGGACAATGCTAGTGTTGAAGTAGAGGTAAAATGTGTCTTATGAGGCCTCTCTCCTGAGCTACAGCTTGGTAGTGTGCTCTGTAATTTGGTAGTTACTTACTGACTTAAGCCTTCCATTTTACAGTAAAAGGGCCTGTTTGTTTAGTATCTACCCTGTATGATTTTTCAGTAGTGAAAATTCCTTATCTGGACCGAATGTGAAGCAGTATTTCCAGTACTGTATTACTACAGTGTTTAATACTAGTTACATTATAGCAAATGAGCACCAATGAAAAAATAAATCTTAAGCTCCATGAAGCTCACAAATCCCATTATGTACTTTTTAATAAAATCCTCAGGACAGTATTGGAGCAGCCCACCTAATGATCCACCTTCCTGACTCTTCCTAACTTAAAGCCTGGAATATAAAAAGTGATTTAAATGCCATAGCATATTTGAAATCAAGCTGTCCTTCCATGGAATGCTCATGGCCTGAGGAAATGTCACAGGGCTGCCTTCTCTTCTCACCAGGAGGTATGTTAAACTTACAACAGAAAATGTTGTTGCAAGTGTAGATGTATGTAATGAAAAGCTATTTGTGAAGCCTAACGTCTTCTTCTTTGCTCTGAAATCTTCACCTGTAGAAGAGAGGTAAGGGATCCTTTTATTACAGCAGATTATTTTGACTCAATCTGTACCTTTTTGAGGGGATCTGTTGGAATAATGTGGTATACTGTGTATAAATTCTCTAGATTATCAAATTGACACTGAAAAATAGCTGCCAACATAAGTGGCTTCAGCCAAAGGTCAATTTTTTATTGGCTGGGTTAGCTAGCGTGATCCAGTCTGGCACAGGAATATTGATAGATCTAGGGGTTCACTGGTGCTACAGTGCACACAGGATGAACAGTCTTTGCTGATGATATTTCAGTGACACTCATTCTAAAATACAGTGTTTGTTCTCATCATACATTTCCATCAAAATAGAAACTATATTTAAATGTCCAATTTTGACTAAATTTAAAATTTGTATATGCAAGACTTGCTCAAGCTTCTTACAGATGATTATTCTGTTCTCCTTGCATTGCTGGTGTTCAGTGCCATTGTTCGTGTCTAAAACAGATCAGCTGTACAGTCACTGCAATTGATTGCCTGCCCTTCCCCTTTAAAAGTATCTTTAACTGTGACTTTACCTATAATCATGTGCTGTTTCTTTAAAGGTCATATATATTAGGTACTTGTATTAATTACATCAGTGAAATGTCCCAATAGTAGTGTCTTTGCTCCAGGTACCTCCTCTCTTTTCTTGCATTAATATAGTTTCACAGGATTCTTCTTGCTTATGAGCAACTAAGGAAATTGGCTTTAAGAACTATGTAAAGATGTATAATCCTCTACATCTAATTTTTTTTTCTTTTGCAGGAAGGGTTTCTCACCATGGCCATAACACAGTTTCGACTCTTTAAAATCTGTACTTGCCTGGCAGCAGTGCTTTCTTTCATTAAAAAGTTAATATGCAGGTAAACATGTCTTATTTAATTTGGTTACCTTTTCTTTTTTGATTACAGGTTCTTCTACTTCTTTCCTTCTCCCAACACCCACCCACCACTCTTCCCAGTTCTGATTTTACTAACTGCAAAACAATCAAGACAAATAAAAACTAAGTCAAATTCATTCTTTAATCTTCATATTCCTTCAGAGTGCAAAAGTCTATGTAGTGCAGTTGTGAGTGTATTTTGTGGTATGATAGCTCTAATGAGCGGTGTTTTCTAAACAGCTATGACAGGGTTTTAAAATTGCCTTTTAAGGCTATCCTATGTCAAACTTGAAGAAAAATTTTTCTCCGCATTTTCTAAAGGAGCTTGGCAAGCAATATTTTGTTTTTTAAGGGGTTCAGTTAATGGCAGCATCCACCCAGTCATCAGTCAGTAGGATTTCCTTATAAACGTAAGTGATTCTCATCCTGCTTTATTAAGAAACGTTTGCCTGAAACTTCAGATTGTTCTGCCTGTTGAAGATTCTTTCAGAAGTTTGGAGGACAGTGATTAAAGTTCAAGGGAATTGCCTTTTTTTTTTTTTCTTTTTAATGAACGTGACTTATTTTTGCTTACTCTTGTAAGTCATACTTAGTGTTCTTTTGCATTGTAGACAATGAACACGGCAATGTAGTACCTAGAAGAATTCAAAAACCCATCAAGAGTTACAGTTAAATAGTAGTAGGGTTCGACAGTACAGTAGCAGAGTACCTGAGGTAGATCTTCTCAGCACTGTGCTGTCATCTGGACTGCTGTTCCTTCTTGCCACTCTTGTAGAATGTTGTTCTACATAAACAAATAGCAGTCTAGAGAAATGTATTCTCCTTTTGTATAAGATCACTACTTTGCCAGTGAGGTTAAAGCATATGCAGAATATATAGTAAACAAAAAATAACTGTTTATTTCCTGTTCACCTTTACTTATTCCAAGAATAAGAGGAAGCTCTCAGCTGCTTGGTAAACTCACTGCGGATCTAGTGAGGCTTTGAAGGGATACATTTTAATGATGCATACAAATACATAGTTGTCAACCTTAGTGCTATGATTTGAATTCTGAATTAAATTAAGAATACTTGCTGTTTAAGTTCTAAAAGGAGTCAAAACACTGAGTTGATGGTAGCTTCTATATTATGGGGACCCTTCATCTCTCTAAGTGTTAAGGTAGCTTTTATAAGCAGATAATTGTTTGGTAGGTGTAATGACAGTATTTTTCCTCCATTTTTCAATTTTTGAACTAAATGCTTGAAATGAACAGCTGAGGAACTGCTTGGGAGTAAAAAGTAGGAGAACTTTTCTTCTGTGACTAACAGTTGAAAGAATGAAAATTTAAAATCTTTCACATAAGCAAGTCAGTAGATCAGATTAGTTCAGTCCATTAACTACAGATGTTTCTCTTGTTTAATGTCAGCTGCAAAGCATAGCTTGGTAAGTTTTGTCTTCCTGTAATGCACCCTGCATATGAGCATGCCTGATAACAAGCAAATCTGATTTAATTAAATGTGCATTTTAATTCAGTGGATATGAGCTAGTACTTATTTAGTTTATATTAGTTTTTAATTTAAACAAGTACCTGTAGAGATAGTGCATCTTCTAGTCAGTGTAAAGCCTACATTTAGTACTAGTCATCTGTTTAGTTAAAACTTTTTTTGATCAACAGTGGCCTGCCTGAATTCACTGTTTCCAGGAATAAAAGGCATAAGTATAAAAAGAGATGAAACTTCATTCTGTTTAAAATCTCTAGTTATCTTCTCCAGCTGAGAAGTCTGGATGCTGCTAGTTAGTAAGGAGAAACAAAACCAAGAATTCTAGAGGCATTTGGCTTTCAGAGCGGTGATCAATATCTGTCTAATGATGGTTGTGAAGCAATAAGCATCTTTTTCCCTATGTAGAAAAAGAAGTGGAGATATGTAGCCTTCCTCGGTGCTGCTGTGTGTAGTATACTCTTTCCTATGTTGTATGACAGAAGCTGTTGCCTCCCACCTTCACCCTTGTCAGTGTAACATTTTGGCTGGATAAATGTTTGTTATAAGCCACTTGCTGAAGTCTTCTAGGTCATATAAGTAGGGAAGTGCATATAATTGCAGAAGTGGTGGCTTAGAGTACTGTTAAAGATATGGATGTTGTACAGGTCAGAAGGAGGAGATTTCCAAGCTTGGGCTTCCTTTAGAGATGTCAACTAAATCCAATCAGCCAGAACCAGAAGTCTCTAATGTGTTCGAGGGAACAGTGTTTTCACCTTCCTTTACCCCTAAACTATGTTGCTTTTCAGCGTAAAGGAGCAGTTTCTAAAGGGGCTAGAGTTAATTATATAAAGCTTGAAAATTTGATGATAGCACCTGATCTTTCCTGAGGAAGAATCTGTTGGGCTTCAAGTAGGAAAAATACATCTAATCACTCGCCAGCATGCAGCAGAGGTGGTATTGCAAGCAATTCAGCTATTCTGAGTTGATGGTAGAATGTTCTATAACAGTAGAACTAACGCACTCCAGATTGTAGTTACCCAGTTGTATTTTCATAAGCAGTAATAAATAAAACATAACTTTTCCAGGCTGTATAAGGTTATTTACATGACTTTTACTATAGGAGCTTACACTCCTTGGGGAAAACAAGCCTGAATTTCATTCTCTTGTCTTGTAAGGTTTTAAAATATAGTGAATGTCACCTAAGAAAATTTTGATTAGTTTTTACTTAACGGCAGCGTTCAAAGATCACAATATCTAGGTGCTTTCTTTGTAATGCATTAGTGTTTGTCTTCAGCTAAAATTATTTTATGTAGTTGCTGAAACGTTTTTGTTGAAACAGTATTCTTAAAGTATGTAGAAGTGTGTATTGAACAGAAGCTGTTGACTTGCATAATCTTGTATTACTTCTGTTCAGACTTGGAAGGAAAAAGTGCTTTGGAGGGGCTTTTAAAATCAACCAGCTCAGCAAGCTATTTTGTGAGACACAGCTTAACATCTAAAACAAGTAGAAAAATTTCTCAGCTTACAGTAGAAATGGTTATCTTTGAACAAACGCGGATCAATAATGTTTGCTTCATAAGCACTGACAATCAAAAAATTTTAACTGACTGTGTGCAAATAACTGAGTTAATTTATCCATTTTCATAGTTCTTAGAGTAGCTCCTATACTTCGACTGCAGTTTGAAAAGTAAATTACACTTTGAAATTGTTGTCAACGCCGCTTTAGATTCATGATGAAATTCCTTTATTTAGCTGAATTTTACTATCAGTAATTAATATTAAGGTATTTTAAGCACTTAATGTTTTAGCCAGGACTATTTACAGTAGTGCTGTTCTCAGACTTCCTTTTTGTTTTTTTTAAACTTAGTGCTCATGTTTTCAGAGCTTGGAGGAATCCTACATTTTTCTTTCAGGTCTGGAAGAGGGCGAAAGTTAAGTGGAGATGAAATAACTTTGCCAACCACAGTGGATTATTCATCTGTTCCTAAACAGGTAATTGCTTAAGTGGTAGGTGATTTAATCACTCTGTTAAGTGATTGTCTATTATACCAGTCCTACCACAGAATTGGTATATATCTTAGAAAAAATACAATATTATTACATATGCTATATAATAGTAAGTATATATCTTGGCAAGATACAAGAAGACAAGGTTTTACTTGCAGGTAATATTAACTTGTACCATATACTTCTATTCAGCCAGAAGTAGAAGACTGGTCTTCATGGGATGAAGATGCACCTACCAGTGTGAAAATTGAAGGTGGCAATGGTAATGTGGCTGCTCAGCAAAATCCTTTGGAACAAATGGAACCTGATTATTTCAAAGATATGACACCAACAATAAGAAAAACTCAGAAAGTAGGTATTGCGCTTTCAGCTATACTTAACAGAGGGTTTTCCTTGCTTTGAAATAGGCTATGAGTAAATTGGCAGAAGGTGCTTCTGGTAAAATTAAGCTGTCCTATTGAAATGAGAATAGGTGCTGATGTCTAGTCTAACATGTCCAATTAAAAATACTGACTCTTTGAGATCTTACCAGATGTGATGGTCATTCATGTTTACATCTTTAGTTTTAATGTTATTGGAAACTTATGAAGAATTTAATAGTCTGAAGGGTCTGGGAAGTATAATGTGAGAACCCTTGAGTCACTTTAATTCTGAAAATGGAACCACTGCACTAAGATACTTATGCTCATACCTTTCCATTATTTGAACAGAGACTTTCCGTGCCCTGCTTTACTGAAGTTTGAGGTAGCAGCACTGCTGTTCTAGAAAACAATGGTTACTTGTTTCACCAAGTTATATTGGGGAGTCTGGAATTAAGGAACTGGTATTTCAAAATAGTGTTACCGCTCATATCTACAATGTCTGGAAGTGGAACTTCAGTCAAATAACAGAGTCTGTCATTGTTGAGTAAGATGGTCTAGTCCTGTTTCCTTTCTTGCATTGGTACTAGCATTTGTACAGTCAGTGGAACTGTGAATCTACCTCTTTAGGAAGCAGAGGGGACTTAAGGTATGCTAAACAAAGTGAGTAAGTTCGTGTCTTGAGGTCAAGACAAGTAAGGGATACATGATCTTGGCAACTGTGTTAAATTTTCTGATAAGCCTTTTAGGGGAGGCATTAGTGCATGTTTTTTAGCCAGATCAGTAAAGAGCTTTACCAGTTGATGCGATAGTAAATTACATTTCAACTATTGGAATTTAAATTGTCTGCACAGATGGGCTATGTCAACGGTGGACAGAGGGAAACCAATGGATGTCATCTATCTGGACTTCTGCAAGGCCTTTGACACGGTCCCCCACAACATCCTTCTCTCTAAATTGGAGAATTGGAATTTAAATTGTCTGCACAGATGGGCTATTGAAGTAGATAAGAGAACTCATGTTCCAAAGCAGTGTAGCTGTGCAGACAGCTCTGTCCTCAAGAGTAGTATTTTATACCTATCATGGAAGGAAGCATGATTTCTCCAAGGAATATATCATGTAATTGATAGCTTATACAAGTACTGGGAGATGTGGCTATTTGATCTGTAATTCTCTGTGCTCTTTCGCTGCCTTGATACAGTCATGTGACTTAAGAAAAAACTAGTGGGGGAGGAGGGAGTTCTTGTGTCTCTTGACTGCCTTGATACAGTCATGGATTTCCATGTGACTTAAGAAAAAGCTAGTGGGGGAGGAGGGAGTTCTTGTGTCTCTTGTATTTAGCTTCTCTCACTTACCAGTTCATTTGGCTGTACAGTTTCCGGAACCTGAGCAAGTTTGAGACAGAGTGTGGTGTTGTGAAGCTGTGTCTTCACAGGCACAGAGTTATATGATCACCACAGAATCTGTGCAGTACTTACCACTTTTCATTCCTTTTTTTTGAATATTTTCAGATAGTTATTAAAAAACGAGAGCCTTTAAATTTTGGGATTCCAGAAGGAAACACGGGATTCTCTAGCAGATTAGCAGCTACACAAGATATTCCTTTTATTCACCAGTCTGTAAGTATGCTCTAAGTATTGATCTTGTATTTGACAGTTAAATGACTGTTCTGTAGGAGAAGGAATAGTCTGCCTAAGGTCTGTGTTGTAGGGAGCAAGAGGAATGGTTGTGGAATAACATAATTGTTTTAAAATTCAGTATTTGGTTCAAAGCAATTAAGTAGTTAATCTACTTTTAACTTACTTATTCTACTGAGAAACTTAACAGATCAGTGAGAAAAAGGTAAGAAACTTCCAAACTTGCATAATTGCAAATCTTCTAAAGCAATGCACTGGATATTTTTATTTTTTGGATTCTACACAGTAAGTTCCTAGCAAAAGAGTAGAAGATGCTTTTTTTTCTTTGTTCCTTGAAAGCCTCTGGGTTACCTTTGCTTTATTATCTTGGACCCATTTTTACCCTTCTGCTTTTCCCTTCCTTTCTGTAGGGTTTGTATTCTAACAGTATCCTAACTTTTGCTCTTTAGCCTTTGAAAAAAGTCTAGTTACCTAACAGCCTGTCTGTTTAGAGGGAGATGCGCTCTCTCTTCCCCTTTGCCGTCTTCAACAGTGCTTCTGCTTTGATTAACATAATGCACAAAAGGGTCTAGGCAGAAAGCAGTACAGAATAGTCATACCACTTCCTTAGACTGTCTGTAATGAAAAAAATTCAGGAAAGGACTTCTAGTGAGTAAAAGCAGCACTCAAGTGATGTTGGACACAAACGGGAATGTACACATTGGTTTGTCCATACAACTTCCAGAAATCTTTTACATTATCTACTCAATTCATCTGCTCAACTTATGTCCTTCTTCCTAAAAACGCACTCCAGTCCTTCCTTCCTTCCTTTGTTATCCACCAATAGAATCCAAAAAACCCTCCAACAATTAACTGGAAAAAGTCAGGGGAAAATGCATAAACAATAAGCTGAGAAATACTGTCATTTCTTAAATACTTCTGGAAGTCTGAAGCATCAAAGTTAAAAATAAGTGTTTTATCTAATTTTTCCATGTGCTTAGAGCTCCTCTTTTGTTTCAGCCTGAACTGGGAGACTTGGATACTTGGCAGGAAAATACTAATGCCTGGGAAGAAGAGGAAGATGCTGCCTGGCAGGCAGAAGAAGTTCTTAGGTAATTGGAAATAATATAACACTATGTTAAGTTTTACGTGTAAAATAATCAAATACAGGCTGATTTGTTGTAACACCTTTCTGTTCTAAGTGCTAAGAATTGTTAAGTAATTCTTAAGACAGACTATTTTTATGCATCTAATATTTATGTAGCAGAACACTTTTTGTATCTAATAAATTCAGTAGATGATGTAGTGGGGGAAATCTGAGAATCACTGAAATGTTAGAACAACGTGTTAACCCCCCCGCCCTCCCCCACAAACACAATTTATTATGTACAACTAGCACATTTCAACTTAAGTAAAATACCACTGGATGCCCTTATAAAAGGGATCATAACCATGTGCTGTGAAGTAAAAATAGTTCAGGATAGAAGGTGAAGTGATAAATATGTTCTTGGAATCCCCACAGGACCCATGCTTTTCTAGATAACTTAACTGAACTAGCTGATAAGGCGTGAATGCAAAATCAGTGTCTTGCACAAAATTAGTGTGAATACTTCATCTGTTCCATTTGTGTTCTTTTTTCCTCTTAAGAACACGTGGAAGGAGTATGAAGGGTAAAGAGATGTAGGCTGAACTTAAACTAATCACGTGCAATGATTTGAGTTGGCAGGGACTTAAGTTAACCTGCTTCATTTCAAGTTTTTATCAAACTTTGATTGCTACATCATTAGAAAACCTGCCTCAGATGGTGCCAGCTTCTTAAACTGCTCTCATTCTACTCACAAAATCAGAAATATGAGGCTTCAGTGGGACAATGGTGATAATATGAAATAAGGACATTCAAAAATCATTCTAGAACTGTGTATCTTTAAAGGAAAAAAAAGAATTTTTGCAAAAGAAGGATTCTGGTCAACTATTTATTGTAATATTGGAGAAAATATACTTTTTTTCAACCAGTAGACTAAGACAAGAGGGAGGTCACCAGCACACTTTTGATGCATTAATGGTAGATAATAAATTCAACCAGTTCCAGTTTTGTGAATCTTGCTCTGCAGCAGCTTAACATGTGAGAATAGGGCTGTAATGCAAATATTTTTGTAAACTTAATCAGATACCTGTATGTGTACATTCTGGTCAGTATCTTGGTTGTTTTTTTTTAACTTCAGCACTGAAACTGTTTCAGGTCTTGTCTTTTGCTAACGTATCACAGAAGTACAAGCTTTGTGATATGAATGATGTGCCTTTGGGCTGGTTTTGTTCCAAGGGTAGTACCTTTTCCCATAAAGAATATCAACAGGCTCAGTAAGATCTTTAATCGCTGAAGTACAATCTACTGAGACTTAATCTATGATGCACCAGACAAAGAAAATGAAAAACAATGAAAAATACTTACTGCTTTTTTTTTTTTTAACTGAGAAGTGAAACAACTATTTTTGCTAACTGCAGAGACTGCATTGTACTTTACTTAACCCTTAACCACGTTCCGCTACAGATGTTTTTAGGACTATGAAAAGAAGTACTCAGACTTTCCAAAGCAGGGACTCGTCTTACACAAACTAGCTACCACAAATGATCTGGCCTATGCATACGCCAGCTTATTTCTGGAGTGTAAAATTTGTGTAACGGATAGTCCCAGGATGGTCAAGGGTGTATTGTCTGCTGATTGTCAGGTTCATGCTCTAGAATACTTAGTAAGAGAGATCTCTGACGTGGCGATAGCAGTGGGGTTTTCCCACAAACTCTGTTTTTCAAAGTGTCATCTTACTTGGTTGAAGCTGTTCTAAACATTTCAGCCTGGCATCTTTACTATTGAAAGGCTTCAGCTCAAGTGGTTAGTTTTCATAGAATTCCTTCCTGGCCCCACTAAAAATTATCAAACTTTACTTGTTTTAGAAGGGATGCATATGTGTCCAGTATTTCAAGTAAATAGGAAGAACATGATCAGAACTGTAACTGTCTGTATTACATGCTGCTTGGCCAGCTATGAATCGCCACCTCAGTACAACTGATCGTTGTGTAAGCTGTATCCCAGCTGTGTGAAGGAAACCCTTTGTTTTATTCATGACATCAAATTACAATGTTTTTTTGTAATTGAGGAAAGTGTTGGCTGATTTTTAGGAAGATTGACAGGAAATACCTTCTTGGTTTAGAGCTTCTCTTACATCTGTTGTGTAATTAGCATCTGACATTTTAATGTAAAACTTACGTATGGTACTTGACAGGCCTGGCTCTGTTTTCAACCTGCTGTATTAAGGAAGTGATCTGGAGTCTCTTCTTAATGCTAGAAGACTGCATCTTGGTCTATAAGATGGACTGAAAATTTCAGACTGCTAAATGGGGGACAAAGTCACCATAACCCTCCACAGTGCTAATGCTGACTGTAGTCCAGCAGTGCTTACTGAGAATGAAACAAGTGTGCAGAAAAAGCGAGGGTCTCCCCTACATAGGTGTGTCTGAGTACCTGTTGGTGCTCAGTTAGTATTCAGAAGGGTCTTAGACTGGAATATTTTTTGTGTACTAACAGAATGCTGATCCATCAAGTAAAAATGGGCTGTGGCCTGCTAAATAGCGGAGAAGACTGTATCCTGTGGCCTTCTCTCTGGTGACTCAGTGTGTATAACTAACAGTTGAAATAAGCATGTATAGTAAGCCAAATGCCTCCTGGAATCAAAGCACGCTGAAAGACAGGGCTGAGGAGTAGGCTGCTAGTGCCTGAGAAGTTCCTGTAGTCTTAATTTTTTTTTCCCCACTCCTCAGTAGGTTCTGGGCTGGGATGCACTGAATTTTCCAGTCAGTGACGAATCAGTGTACTGGATGATAAACTGCATTTTCAGTCAATTGAAGTTAGTTAGAACTTGGTTTCTTCTGCAAATTGTAGATGCCTATTTGCACCTTTAGACTTTCTAATACCAATGAAGTTTTTTTCCCAGTGGGAACAGTTGAGCTAAATGCTGGTGTACTTTTAATTGTGTTGAAGTAAAAGACCAAATGGTATGAAATCTTTTTTATTACAGTTATTCAGTATGTATACAGTAAACAAAAACAAGCTGGAATAAGAACGTTTGCTAACTGTTCTGATTATAATTAGTGTTCTGCTAACCAATGAGGTTTAGGGTTTTTTTGGACATAACTTGTGTTAGGAATGCAAAGCAGGGTTGACATCAGGAGTGAATACTTGCCTGGTTTAAAGAGCTTGCATCATTACATGCAAACTCTGCTGAACTCCTTGTTTTGGAGCCCAGAAAAAGTGAGTCAGATATGGCTATAGTTGGTCATAAGCTCTTCCTTTATTGAGAAATAAAGCCTTCCTGAGCCTGAAAGGTAGTAACATTATGTTGAAAACTTGCAGGAAATTTGGAATAGAGATCAGTGTTTTGAATAATGACCAAGTAAAAGAGCAGTGTAAAGGTAATCACTTCATGGTAAGCTACTTGTTTATATTTTTTGGTCACTTCAGTTCCTCTGTCTGAGGTGATATGAAGGTCTTTTCTCCTTTGGGCGTAACTGAAGTCCAATAAAATTACTCAGCCAGTAGAGGGCATGGAAACCACTTCTCTGTGCAGAGGAGTTCTGTGTCCTGCTGTTTATAAGGGGGAAAAGAAACACGATCTGCTCTGACTTTCCCCGCTTCAGAATTGCAAATGAGTAGCAGCATTGATCAACACCTCATGTGGCTTTTTGGACCTCTACTGTCTCTTCATTCTGGCTGTTGTATGTATAGCTTTTTCCCTTCTGCAGCAGTTCAGAGGTGTGGGGAATATAAGAAACTCTGCTTCTCTCAAGTGGAAAATATTATTACCCTGCATATGCTAGACTGACAGCACTGTCAACTACCCAGCCTTCTGGTGGGATGTAGAATAGCAGGTCATGATCTCAAAAAAAAAAAAGCTTGGGCTTCCATTAACTTGGGAGATAGATCCTGATGTGAGTCACTAATTTCATTCTTCCGTGACAGACAGCAGAGCAGCTTAATAGAGTACAGGAAAACTTCTAGCCATTAAAAAAATCAATCAAGGAAAAACATGAAGGTATTAAATTAAGTGCAGCCCCTCTCCTATCCATTACAAAGATAATACATAGTGTTTGTACCTCAAGTATTTCAAAGTTTTCTGTGCCCAGTTTGTCCATAGTTGGAATCTACCAGAGAAAGTTGCTTCAGATGATGATAGCTTTTAATTCTGTATGTTTTACACACTGAAGTGGATGTGCGTAGGTAATTTTGGTGCATTGAACGTTATTTTAAAGTCATCTTGCAAGAACCTTAGCAAATTTTTCATATCTAATAAACTGAATCAAAAGCAAGAGTGACCTCCTCATGCCATTCCATTACTACTTATGGAATATAGGAGAAATCTGCAATGTGCCACTTGGAGTATGGATCTTCGTTGCCCCTGCACCACTCAGTGATGTGTTCTGTCTGAAGTAGGGGAATAAACTGAGTGCATTTTTGTGTTGTTTTTTTCCTTCGCTCTAGTCAGCTGTGTATTTGTTGAAACTGGAAACCTGTTTCTGTAGACAGATTCTTCAAGCTAGCAGGTAGTGATGTCTGGGGTTTTATAGCAGTGATAAGAAATAGTGCTAAAAGGATACTCAAATGAAGACTTCTAAATTATATTTTAATTTCCTTCAAGGCTATTGTTTATATTTGTACTGGACAGTAGAGTACAACACAGGTCCCGAACACGTGAAAGGCAATATTAGAAGTTATCTCATCTGATCACAAGGAAAATATTTGTAGTACTTGCATTACAAAGAGGATAGCTACTGATGCCTCCGCTGAGAGAAAGGGGAGATACAAGTCAACATTCCAGACAAGCTGAACTCTTCTGATTTGAATTTGAAAAGACTGGTAGTCTTCCTACTGAAAGCATTAGATAGATTAGATGATTTTTTTTTTTTCTTCTAAAGAGCTCTAGGCCTTATAACTGTTGTATACTCTTGCTGATTCACTTAATCTGAATCTTTGAGAATTGAGTGGCTTTTAGACTGTAAAATATTTGAGCAAATATTACTGCCCAAAACTAGATTAAACTGAAAAAAGGACTTCAGCACAGTAAAAGCATAACTGTTCAGAGCCTAACTGAAGCTAGACTAAAGTAGACTAAAGCTAGACTAAAGTAGACTAAAGCTCTGTTTTTTATTAGTTATAATAACCTATTTATTGACAGGAACTTAAGGTATGACTATGCTGAAAATTGGATTCCTGTTATTTAGGAATTTGTGTTTTCTTTACTTGCAGACAACAGAAGATAGCAGAAAGGGAAAAAAGAGCAGCAGAACAGCAACGAAAGAAAATGGAGAAAGAGGCCCAAAGGCTAATGAAAAAGGAACAAAACAAAATTGGTGTAAAACTGTCCTAACAGAAACCAGGCATCAGTGGCAACGCCAGTGAAAAGAGAATTTCAGCTCTACAACATGCGTAACGGTATTGATTTAAGTATTTCTAGGACTTCAACACACTGCTTGGTTTCAATACATTCTTCAGGTCATCTTGGAAGCCAGAATTCTCCCAAAATGTCTTGAACTACCAGTAGGTGGTTCTTAAAGGAGAAAAAACCCACAGAAAATCATGCCTTGAATGGAATGAAGTCTCCTGCAGTAGTTTTATTCCAGCACCCTTCTTTGCGGCAAAAGTGATTGAGCAAGGATGTTGATTGAAAGACACTCTTAATGAACAGCTCAAGCCTAGAGAAAAGAATGTAAATATTCAGTGGTGGGAAATCTACTGTATTGTCTGTGCTTACCTGAAACGTGTAATTAAACAGTTTTAAAGAACCCTTTGCTTCCTGCCTCATAAAGAATGTCTGCTTTAGACTTTTTATAGAAGTATTTATAAATAGTTTGCAGTTTTCCATGGGAGATCATGCTGACCTGTGCAGAAGAAAATGACTTGTGATGGATGACCTGCAACTCTAAACTCATTCCTGGTAGAGTACGCTATGGTAGAGCACAAGTTACAGCTGAACACTAAGGCCGATTTCTTGTCACTGTGTCACTTGCAGGTTCCTGTGCTCCCGTGCCCATTTGCAGCTCTGCAGTGGCTACCAGCAGTGGCATTGCTGCGCAGCAGCAGTGCACACTGCTCCTTTCTTATGAAGGCTGATGTTGTGAATGCTAGGGGAGTGGTTTAATCACTTACTTGTATTGGGAAATTTGTATTTCTAGCAGAAATTCTTTTACTTCCTACAGTTAGGAAAAAAAAAATCCTCACACCTTATACTTGATGCATAGGGAAAAATATTGTTTGTGTTCTTAATAAAGCTAGTGCGAAAATTCTTAGTTCGGTTAACAGCACTTCTCAAATTCTGTTTTTGTACACTTAGGATATGTGTTTACAGTGGAATTCCCCTGGGAAAAGTGGGCAAGGTAAATACGCAGTAGAAGACAGCAGTGCTTTGATGAAGAAGAAAAGTTAATGTCTGCTGGAAGGAAAGGTGGGTGGGAGGAGGGGAGTTGATGTGGTTCTTATGTCCAGTTGAGAGCTTCAGTGAATACCTTCTCCATCTTCTGTTGTCCCTGAAGAATTGCCTTTAGTGGCCTTAGTCACAGAGAAAAGTTCTTAAAAATGTTTAGTATGCTTGTCATACTGCTTAAAATTTTGCACAAGCCAGCTGATTTGACAGCAATTTTCAGATATAAAAGAAGTCCTTGAGAAATGTTTTGAAATACATTTTAGAAGGCAACAGTATGCATTTTTGTGCCTATTTTCTGCATGAGTGTTCTGGCTGGAGTAGGATGGATGAGTAAGGCCTGTGCAGACCGAACAGCGGCATGGCAAGCAAATCGGCTGGTACACGGCGCTGAAGTACCTGACAGTGGATGGGAGATAAAGCTTATTTACAGACTTTCTCCTTAATAATGTGTGCCTGTCCTTTTAACTGCGCAGATGAAGCGAGGAGGCACAAGTCGTCATGCTCTCACCATTGCTGACGCAGAGCAGGGAAACCTAATAGCCCTTGCCTACTTAAGGTAAAACCTCTTGGAAGCTATATCTTATCTTTCAAAAAAATAGTTTAGTGCTTACTATTGCTATTTCTGAGACAATGTAAAATAGATGCAAATAAGTACTATTTATTAAAAATAATGAAACATGGGCTAATTTAAAAGTTAGAAACAAAGCCCCTGGATACACCATGAAAGCGCAATTGTTTTTTCAGCCTTCAGCCATATTAAAACCCATTAGGTGCTGCCACCACCTTGCACGTCAGCCCTCCTGCATTGCTTTTACCTCTCCTGCTCTGTACTTGTGCTGTTTTGGGGTTCTTTCCTCTGTCTGCCTCCCTGTACTAAGCACGGCTGCTCTAAGAGTTGCTCCTATCTCCTCCTCCATGTGCTGAGATGATGCCAGTAAAGTCTCGGTGCTCTTGTATGTAGTATCTTCATGTTAAAACCCAATGCATGGGTATCCATTTCATATTTTTCATCTATGTCGTCTTTTCTTCTTCCTGTATCTTGATTTTTATCCTCAACAAATGTCAAAACTTTTTTCCTAAACATTTTGTTTAGCTGCTGCTCTGTCATTATCTTTTCCATCAGTTTGAGTTCCTTGAGGGATCTTGTAGGCCTGTGGGGTTTGCTGCTTTCCCTCCCGCTGCCATGGGCTCCTCCTTCTCCCTCTCCATACGCTGCCTGTTGGTCGCCTTCTTTGTTTTTTCTTTTTATTCTTTTCTGAAATCTAGTGATTGCCTTCACTGTTATTCTTAGTCAAGAATGGAAGATGGACCTGCCAGAAGGACTGAAAAATCATCTTCTCCTTGACTGTGCTATAACTGTTTGTGTTTGTAGTGCCCTGTGTTCATTTGAAGGGGTTTGGAGCAAAATGTTCACTTGTTCTTCTCATGTAGGACATACATAAACTAGTGCTTTCATTTTAGTATGTTTGTAGAGGTTGGGATTTCGGAGAGGTAGTTGATTTGGGGGGAAAGGAAGGAAAAGTGAGTATAATCAGAAGTTAAGAACAGCCTGGGGAGAGGGTGGACATAAGTAAGGGTGCAAGTGAAGCTGGTGGGGGGTGGGCAGTGCCTGTGCCTCAGTTCTCAGCAACTTAGGCACGTGCTGGGTGCCTCCAAACTGAATGTTAAAGAAAGGCTTTTTTGTTCTTGGGTTAGAAAGGAAAATGCTTAGAGGATTATCAACAGGACTTACTTCAGCCTGGGAAGGAGCTGGCTTGGTTCCTATGCTACCCTGTAAGCCTGAATTCAAGCAGACGTCTGCTATTTCACCCTTAGCCTGTGAGCTACGTCTCCTCCCCACCCGCACGCTTTGAGACAAGACTTACCAGTGGGGTGTGGGAGTGGGTATGACCATTTTCTAAACTCGTAGAAAAGGATAGGAGTTTTTATTGAACTGTTTGGAAGCTGATGGTCCTCCCCTAGCTACTCCGTTCAGCACCAGTGGGATCCAGGTGATACATGACTAAGACTAAAGCTGAATCTTAGAGGGGAAAAAAGTTAAGATGGTACATCTGCAGCAACAGCTAGCACATCCTCTGTGTATCAGGGAGCAAAGGTCGGTCCTCAAAAGTCTGGGACTGGAGGATTTATCGTGGCACTTAGGCCTCTTCTTAAAAAGACACTTGGAGCTGTCTACATCCTTGCAGTACGGAGGACTGTCGTGGTTTGACCCCAGCCAGCAACTGAGCCCCACAGAGCCGCTTGCTCGCTCCCACCCCCCCCCAGTGGGATGGGAAGGGAATCGGAAGGGTAAAAGTGAGGAAAACTCATGGGTTGAGATAAAGACAGTTTAACAGGGAAAGCAAAAGCCACACACAGGCAATGCAAGGGATTCATTCACCACTTCCCATGGGCAGGCAGGTGCTCAGCCATCCCCAGGAAAGCAGGGCTCCATCACGTGTAACGATGACTTGGGAAGACAAAGACCATCACTCCATATGTCCCCCCTTCCTCCTTCCCCCGGCTTTACATGCTGAGCATGGTGTCGTATGGTGTAGGATATCCCTTTGGTCAGTTGGGGTCAGCTGTCCCAGCTGTGCCCCCTCCCAACTTCTTGTGCCCCCCCAGCCTCCTCACTCGTAGGGTAGGGTGAGGAGCAGAAAAGGCCTTGACTGTGTCAGCACTGCTCAGCAGTAATGAGAATATCCCTGAGTTACCAACACTGTTTCCAGCACAAATCCAAAACATGGCCCCATACGAGCTACTGTGAAGAACATTATCCCAGCCAAACCCAGCACAAGGAGGAAAGCTGGAGGCTTGAAAGCGTGCTGAATTTTGGGTAGATATCAGAGCTAGGGCTTTTATTGGGAATGTGGTGGGAACGCTGTCACCTCTCGCTAATGCCTTACGAGAGCCAAGTGGACAGAAAGATTTTTAAGGGCAGGAACCAACTTTGACGTTATTCTGGTGTTAGCACCTTATGTCTTAAATTGCACGTTTAAATACACTCCTGCTAAATGGAGCCTGCCCGAAACACGGTTTGAAGTGAGTTTAACCTACTGAAATTTTAAACATAAGCATAGGTTTGTGCTGCTTTGTTGCCTGCTTGCTGCAAAAGAAACCTGTGTAGTTA